ATACAAGCTAGAATGATTGCGCTACAGGATGAGAATGTCAACATGCATGAGGTGATCCAACACCAGAGAGAAGAACAATGGAACAGTGAGGTCAGGGAAAAACGTCTTCAACACAGTGTTCACTCGTCTCAAGATCAGAGCAATCAGGAAGCTATGGTTATTGATCATCTACGAGGTCAACTAGCTATGGCACGTGGAGCTGAACTCAACGCGAAAGCGGAGATGGGAGAGATGGAAGTGGGCATGAGGATGGAGATGTTTATATGCCAAACTGAAGTCTCTGCTAAAGAAATGGCAGATGCGAGGGCGAGCCACCACGAATACGAAGCAAACGTCGCAAAAGAGGTTATCGCAAAAGGAGAAATATTCAACAACGAAGTCCTAGAAGGTTCCATCCGTGAACGACAACAATTGAAAGACGTCAACCTCGCTCTATCCGAAGCCAACGCACAGCTGAAAAGAGAGAATATGATGAGAGCTCCTATGTTCGGCGATGCTGGTGCTGAAATTCAACAGAAGATCAGAGAACTGGAGGATGCACTATTGGAAAGCCAGAAGGAGACAAAGAATGTCATTATGGAAAATGCGAAATTAAAAGCAGAAGCACGAATGGCACCCATAGTCTCTCGGTACAGCAAGCGTTCTAGTTCCAGAGACCGCGGGTTACCAACCCACGCGTCCGAGGAAGATGAGGTTCGGAACGCAAAAGAGGAGGCGAAATACTACAAGGACGGGTACAATGAAATGACAGAGAGCCGAGATGAGATGTATGAATGGTATGCCGAAACCCACAATGAGTACGCCGAGGAAAGGGAGAAGTCAATTGAGCTGTCCGAGGCGAACAAATCATTGAGGGATAAGATTTCAGAAACAGAGGCATCCTCTTCATCTCATCTTGCACCGACAACCTCTACTGTCATGAAGGTATCGAGGAAGGAAGAATCAAAGATAAACGTTCCGTCATGGCCCAGGATCAATGATATTGGATTATGGAAGGCAAATCTCATTCAATCAATCATCATTGCGGCCAATGATTCAGATCAAGAGCCCTGGATCGATTGGATCAAAGAAGCCATGGACGATCCTGATCCGGACAAGTTTGTCGACTCAGGAGACCAAAGATTCCATTCAATCGATGCTAAACTCGGCCTAGCTCTTACCAAGGTCGTCATGGATGCGAAAGATGATGGTTCAGGTGTAGCTATGAAGTTGAGGACGAGGATCAATGCAAAAGGGAGAACATCAAGCCTTATAAAGGGAAGAGAGGTCCTAGCCCTGATCCTTATGAACTTCAAGACAACATCAAATGTGGAAGTCTTATATACTTCAATGCACCTCTACCAACTAGAATATCAAGGAGACAAGAACTTATCGTTGTTCTTCCACACTTGGGATGAGATTCTGGCAGGAATGAAGCCCGTTGACGTCCCGAGCGACGAAACTCTTCGGGATCTCCTATGGAGAAAGATCAGGAACTCAAACCTCATGGCATACGACATCAGCGCCTACAACAGTATGAACGACGATGATGCCAAGAAGACATACAAACATCTACGTGATATGATCAGAAGGCACATCGAACGGCAAACTGAAGACAGGATGATCCTGGAAAAGGAGAAAGCAGTGAAGAATGTGGCCAATATCTTTCAGAATCTCAAACCAGGCGGACCTGCTCCAAAACTGAAAGCTGCACCAGCTGATCCGAAGAAGAAACCAAAAGGGCAACAAGAACAAGTTGTCTCAGAAGACGCTGCTGCAGTGAAACCGAAACCCAATCCCAAGAAGCATCCTGAAGATAAGAACAAAAAGGGAAAGGGGAAAGGTAAAGGTGATGGAAAGGATCGCAGCCGAAGTCCGAGTACAGACAAAAAGAAGATACCGTGCAAATTCTTCGTGAAAGGTAACTGTACTATGGGGAAGGATTGCCCATTCAGTCACAAGAAACCCAGATCGCCATCCAGAGGACCTTCTGTCGGAAAGAATGACAAGCCAGTATGTTGGATGTGGATTCGAGGAACTTGTGACAAAGGGAAGGATTGTAAGTTCTACCATGACCCAAAAGCCTCTCCTAAGAAAGGGATATCTGTACCAGCTGACTCAGGAGACGATAGGCCGAAGCCCAAGGCAAAACCCAAACCGAAACCTAAGGCGAAGCCTGGAGCCCCGGCCATTGGCGGTGAACTCTTCATGGACGAATCCGAAGATGAAGGGATGGCTGCATCCGCCAAGGCCAGAGAAGGAGGTACAAAAGTATCCTTTGATGAAGAGACTTGTGAGATCATGTTGAACGAAGCGATCTACTCAGTCAGGGACAAATGGAAGGTAGTAGAAAAGAAACCTCTACGTCCGGACATCAAACGATATGATGAGAGAGAGCTCACCTGCTACACGAGGAAAGAACAAATCAGATTTGAAGAAAAGGTCGCAGAGGCAAGAGGCATATTGATGGTCCCCTACACTGAGATCAAGAGGGTCCGAATACCAGTCGGACCAAAGGGTGACCTATCGGTCACTATGTCTTTTGATGAAGATGACGGCCTAGTTTTCCATCATAAAGTCATTCCTCATGTATGCGAGGGAAAGAATGATCATGCAGACACAAAGACGTTGTCTATTCCAGCCAAAGGGTCAAGAACGAAGTTCATCATGGACACAGGATGTGGGTATGATCTGATATCGAAAGGCAGAGCCAAGAAACTAGGTCTGGAAGTGAGAGAAAGCGACCAATCAATGTCATTCTATACCGCAAATGGAGTGACATCCACAAAAGGGGTCGCCGACATTCATTTCGACGAATTTGACTCTACCTACTCCCCATTCGTCCTAGATGAGTCTCCTTCAGTACTGTCTGTTGGAAAGAAATGCATGGAGGAAGGATACACATTCATATGGCCAGCCTGCGGCAACCCGTACATGATTTCCCCGAATTACAAGAAAATCATGTTAGAAGTAGAGGGAAACATCCCATATATTGTCAAGGGCAGTGACTTCTGTACCCCCACCGACGATACAAGGGCGGAGATGATCGCAAGGTTCACCCTAGGAGAAGATGAAGCCGATTACCAATCGACTTTCATCAACTGTGATGTGGATCCTCAAGGAATCATGTGTGATAATGACGACCTTCCTGTGATTGAACCTCCAAAAGTCAAAAGACGAAAGAGGAATAAGAAGTTCAAGGCATCTCCTGGAGAAGAAGATGAGGTAGGATCAGATGTCGCCGGAGACAGTGAACCAGAAGCTGACGATGATGATGCAGATGACATCGAGGTGGATGTTGTTGACGGTGCAAGTAGAATGGTGAGAAGAGGAACTCTGAAAGCAGATGCCAGGAAAATCGAGCATCTACTCACACATCGTTACAAGAATCCTTACTGTGAGTCATGCATCAGAGCAAAGATGAAACACTTCAAGACGCATCGGGGAGCGTTCAAGAGAAAGCTCAAAGCTTTTGGAGACCTGGTTACCTTTGATTTTGTCGATACAAGGAACATCCTTGATCAAGGGATCAGTACTGATCGAGAGATCTTCGTCATTCGTGACAGGTACACAGGCGTCATATGGGCCTATCCGTCGAAAGAGAAGTTTACCAAGGACGTGATCAATGCAATAAACCACTTCAAGGGATTGAAGAAGATCAAGATTGCTTATGCCGACAAGGCCCCAGAGTTTGAGACGGCTATGAAGCAGCTGAGGATCCCGTTCGATCACTCTCTACCGAATCATCCTCAAAACAATTCTCTGGCGGAGAGGAACAATCAGTTCATTATGATGACAACCGCAACTTGTCTCTTGGAAGCGGGGTTACCACCATGTTTCTGGAGCTATGCAGTAGAATGCGTCAGCCATCTTTTGAACATTGAGGAAGGAGAGGATGGAGTGAGCCCTTGGTACAAGCTACATGGGAAAGAGTTCCATGGAGAGAAGATTCCCTTTGGTGCAAAGGTCTTCTTCATGCCGAGCAGTCAAGGAAGGATTGAGCAAAAGCACAAGTTTGATCCCAAGGGAATCCCAGGTATCTTCGCCGGATATGAGATCAAGCCCGGGATGAACTGGTCGAGACAATACAGAGTGTGGAGTCTTGAAACTTTTGCACATCAAAGCCTTGCATTTGATGCCAATCGCCCTATCAGAAAGCTA